TCTCTCTCTCTCTCTCTGTCTCTCATGAACAAATAAAATCTAAAGAAAAGACAGCTTCATCTATATACTAGAAAGCAGCCTTTAATGAACACTAAATCTGCCAACTCCTTGATCTTGGACTTCCTAGCCTCCAGAACTGTGAGAAATAAAGGTCTTAAAAAAATAAAATAAAATAAAATAAAACACTCAAAACAAATACTGAAATCCAGTTAATAATATGCATGCTGAAATATTTATGCAATGTTGCAATTTATTCTGAAATGTGTGAAAAAATAAGATGGATTGATGGAAAAATAGAAGGATATATATATATGAAAAATAGAAGGAGATATATATATATATATATATATGAAAAAGGAAGCACAGAAAAACGTTAATGGTAGAATATGGTAGATATGTAAGTGTATACTGTAAAATTCTTTCAATTTTCCTGAATTTTTGAATTTTCATTATAAAATCCTGGGAAGAAGTAGGGTGGGGGAAAATGGACCACTTTGTCTCTCTAATATGCTCCTTATCTGTTTTTAAGCCACAGGTATTTTATACCACATGATAATGCAACAATATATTTCATAAAGCAAGAAATAGCCTGTTATCCGTAAACATAAACCAAACATGCTCCAGAATACTTTTAAAGGCTCTTTTCCCTGTATCCTGCAATGAATTCCCCTATTGTTAGAAGGTCCTGATCAAGACTTAAGCAGAACAAATGCAAACCACAAGCCACTAACTGGAATGAAGAAACCATGGCTTAGTTCATACTTTAATAAATGGTTTTTCTTTTAATGAGGATGAGCGGCACCTCACTTTTTATCATACCTGCTGCTTGACTTTTTACAAAGAACATGTATTCATTCTATTACTCTGAAATAAAATATTTTATGAATCAGATGCTTTAAAATTTTTCTACAAAATTACTTTTAAATTTACTGAATGGAAACTAATGAAATTTCAAACTATCAATTTAATTAATTAATTGATTAATTTTTAATTAATTTTGTAATTTTTAAAACAACCAAGATTTCTGCATAAAAGGTTTTTCTATAGGCATGAAGAATACTTTTTCTTTTGGGGTGCCTGGGTAGTGCAGTCAGTTAAGCATCCAACTCTTTATTTCAGCTTAGGTCATGATCTAAGGTAGTGAGATGGAGCCCTGGGTCTGGCTCTGCACTCAGTGGGGAGTCTGCTTGGGTTTCTCTCTTCTTCTGCTCCTCATTGCTCACCCCCGCCCCCACCGCTGTGCTCTCTCCTTGTCTCTAAAATAAATAAATAAATCTTTTAAAAACATTTTTTATATGTATGTAGAACATTAAAGGAAAACAGCTGTGAAAAACTAAAAAAGAGAAAAATAATAGTCTTATACATTATAGGAGAATAGAGATTCCAGATGAAATTCTGACTAGAGCTAAATATAGAAACTACAATTCTAGAAGTTAAAGTTTCAAACAAGCAACTGTCTAAACATTTTAGATGAGATCACACAATAATAGTTCCCAAAATCTGCATAAAACCATTTTGCTTTTCATTATATAACCACATCTTCAAAGTTTAAGCCACAATTTGTCTCACAAATAATACTTGGCTAATGGGTTTTACTTTTGACAACCCATCATGCTATTCATACCATATAATATTGCTTCTACATGGTTTTGCGAGCAAACACCTGTATCAAAACATTCCTGCTTATTTTACTATCTATTGGAAGAAAGGAAATGGGGAAGAGGGATGCGGTAGTTTACACGCTAAGGAAACATGAAGCAGGGGGTGGGGGAGTCCAGAGCACAAAAAGGTATGGTACTGACCACTTCACTCCTAAATCTGCTTTTTTCCACACTTATTAACTAAATCACTTAGACCTGCCTATACTAGTTCTATTCATTGAGATTTGGTCTTGAGTAATTATAAACAATATTATATGATGCTATTTCAAACTACCTGTACCTATAAGACTCTCATCAAAAAACTACCAGAGAACCAAGGAATACCTCTTGGGGCAAAAAAAAAAAAAAAAAAAAGTACCAACTGCACTATTCTAATCTTTCATCACTGCTCTGGGTAAAGGAGTGGAAAACAAAATGGGGAAAAAAGAGAAGTTTTTTAAAGATGATTATAAGAAGGAAAATGGACTAAAAATTAAGAGTATTTTCTCTTATTTGGCAAATCAATCAACCTCTCTGAGTCCATTTTCCTTAAATGTTAAATGAGCAAGGGTTGGCTACTCAGAATAATTTAATGATATCAAAGTTTTTGATTCTCTTGAATTACAAGTATTAAAGAAACATTAATAAGGATGCTTAAAGTTTTTTGAATTCACAGACCCCCCCTTCTTAAATCTGGCATTTTTCTCCTCAGAAAAATGAAAATACAAATTCACTCATTTTGCATTATATTCAGCAAGTTCAGGAACCCCTGAAGACAAGCCATGAATAGGAGGTTAAGAATTGCTGTGTTTCGGGATGCCTGGGTGGCTCCGTTGGTTAAGCATCCAACTCTTGATTTTGGCTCTGGTCATGATCTCAGGCTTATGAGATCAAGCCCCACATGGGGCTCTGTGCCAGGCATGGAGCCTGCTTAAGAGCCTCTCTCTCTCCCTTTCTTTTGCCCCTCCTCCCTCTAAAAAAAAATTTGCTGTATTTCTAGAAAATTCCATCTTCCTCTCCTTTTAGAAATAACCTATATGTTTCATAAATTCATTTATAATTTTTATGCTTTAACTCTTTGAATCAGATTTCCTATCCAATCCCAATCTGACTCATTCCAAAGAGATGAAAAAAGGAAGTTTAAGGAGTTTTTAAAAATCTGAAATAGAAAATATTTACCTTTTGGGGGAAGAGGAAAAAAAGATTTATTTTTTACAAAGAGAAACAGGTTTATTTGTAGGTGAACATTATCAACATTATTAGATAGTTCACTAGCCAAATCCATCTTTGATCTACTCTGGCAACTTAAACCCTTGATTCCATTTAACCACATTAACAATGCAACTGAGTTTGGGAGAATCACATGAAGCTTCAAAAAAAATACATGTACTGAGATGGACCAGATATGGGTACTCTGAAAGCAGGCCTCAGGCCAAATTAATGACAATAAATACTCTTACAGTTTCTAAAAGATCTAAGTGTATATGTTACCTTAAATAATTTTGAAGAATGAATTCTGATTTAAAAAAGAATTAATTTTCATATATATTACTGTCTAATCACTATTGAAAATCCAATGACTAAATGGTCCATAGTACCTTATCAGCTGATTTGACTTTCTAACTTTTTTATTTTTTAAAGGAATCTCTACACCCAACGTGGGGCTCAAACTCATAACCTCTACAACTGAGCCAGACAGGAGCCCTTGATCTGACTTTTTTAGAGACCCATCACAAAATGTTTCCAAGCTCTACAATATCTACCATTATAAATTATATAAAATCTTTATCTAAGATATAAAATACTCATAGTAGATTTTATGCATTATACTAGACTCTCTGGGAAAATACGAATGAATACAATACTAACCCTGGATTCAAAGAACTTAGATACCAACATTTCTACTTTAACAACTACGATTGTCTCCTAAATGGATTTCACTGCATGCAAGTCTTGCCCTACTCCAACCTACCATTTTTCTAAAATCTGATCATATCTGTGGTAATGGAAATAACTTTTAGCAGCTCCTCATTGCCTAGTTTTTCACACAACTACCTCTACAAATAGGAGAAAGAACATGGGCCTTTGAAGGCCTAAGGATGTAGCTTGGAACTCACAAAGCATGACAAAATTCTCTTTATAATTCACAAAAATAATCCATTTGCTCTATAATACACTCATATTTGATTTTAATATAAAAATGGTGTGCTTTTTCCCCTCAGTAAACTGACACTCTAGTATGATGCACCTCGCTATTTCTGTGACTGAACACACCCATACACTGCCAGGCTAAAAATACCTCCAAGACTAAGTCACGAACCTACAGGATACAGTCAAAGCTTAGCACACAAGGTTCCCAGCTCCACTCCAATCACAACTCCAACAGCAACAAAGCCACACCATAGCCACAGGAAGGTATACGTAACACAACTTCCCCAATGTCACTCCCCAAACACACACACACACACACACACACACACACACACACACACACACAGAAGCATATAGGCACACACATGCACACTATCCTTGATGTTTCATACCATTGCTATTCCCTTTCCTGGAATTCTACTTATCTCCTACCAGCAACTTCTTGTTCATCTTGCCAGATTTCACTCCATAATCACCTCTTCTATCATGCTGTCCTGACCACCCAAAACAGGGTTAACCACACTTTTGTGAGTGTCCTTTGTATCTTTCATATGGTTCTATTATAACACTTTATTCCCAAAGTATCATTTTGTTTACTCATCCTCTTTCTCATTAGGCCATGAGTTAAGGCCAGGAACCCCATTTTATTTGTGCTTGTATTACTAAGGCCCAACAGTGCCTGGCTAATGGCGGTTGTTTAATAAATGTTTGTCAAATAAATGAGTAGACAGATAAATGAATAAATGCCACTCTCTAAATTCTTCCCTGATTTATTCTTCTTCCTAGCACTTATAGCCTAACATGCTATAGTTTACTTTTAAATTTGTATACTGCTTTTGCACTTAGCAGTTTATTCACTGATGTAATGCTAGGCCTTAGAACATTGCCTAAAACATAGTAGGTACCCAATATTTGTTGTATGAGTGAAAAAAATACACTTAGTTATCTGAAAACCATTCTGTTCAAATTATTCAATATAACATATGGCTTTTTACACGTACTTTTCTTTCCAAAAAGAACAAGAAAGAAAGGTTAGTTATGCCAAATCCTTGATAATGGCAGCAAGTTACATTTTTTATAAACTTCTAAGAAAAGATACGGTTAACTAATATTAAAATTCCAGATGGTCATAGGTAAACTTAGGGCTTACTATTTTTTAGTAAGATACTGCAGAATATTCACACTCAAAAAATGTATAAAGGTTCTTACCCATCCTTGGTTTGATCGGCTACTCCTGCCAAGAGCTGCACTATCTTTGGATTGCTGTTTGGATCATTGTACAGTCCAAGATAGCGCTGGACAAAGTCTTCTGGGGTCATGTAATGTTCTCCATCAACCTCAGTACTGGCATACTAAAAAATGAATAACATATACTTAAAAATTAAAATTATTCAACATCATCCTGTAGCCAAAAGTATTTTGTGAGAAGATAAATTAAAGACCAGTATCAAAATTCAAATAAAGATAATAAATGTAGGACTTTTCTCTGGATAGTGAAAAACACTCAGAACCTGACTGAAGAACATCAGCCAAGTGCTGATACGTGCGACAATATGCACAAACCTTGAAGACATTTGCAAGTTAAAGAAGCCAAACACAAAAGGCCACAGAAGGTATAACCTCTTTTATATGAAATGTCCACAGTGACAGAAAGCAGAAGCATAGTTGCTAAGAACTGAGAAGAGGGGAAAAATGGGAGTAACTGCTTTAACATAGGTGAGGTTTTTCTTGGGAGCAATGAAAATGTCCTGGCAATGGCCACACAACATTGTAACTATACTAAAGAACAGCACTGTAAACTTTCAAATGGTTAAAATGGTGAATTTTGTTACTTGACTTTTATCTTAATGAAACATATAATACGTTAAGAGAAGAAATATGAGAAAGAGGAAGAAAGGTGAAAGGGCAGCTGAGTTAACCAAGACCTGAGAATGAGAAGCTGACACCTGTAGACTCCCAGGAGCTTCCCACCTACAAGAGCACAGGGCGGGAGATGACACAACACATGAAACTGCCAAATCTCAGAAAGTGAAACAAATGAGAAAAAGCATGACAAACAAGACCTTCCACCATAGGTATTTGTTCTACATTCCAGTAGCTGGAAAAAAGAAACAAAAATATTCTGTTTTTATGTAAATTTTTACAAAGAAAATAATAATACCTGCCTATCAAATAAAAGCCTCCTTATTTTAAGGGTTTTATGTACTATGGCATGATCAAAGATGAACAACCAAAGCTCTCCTCTTTGGGTTGCAGCTGATTTAGTCAACTATCAAAGTAGTAACATCAGAAAACTTCCCAGAATTGAAGAATACAAGGGTTCACTAAGTGCTAACCATAATATATTAAAACAAACAAAACAAAAACCCACACCAGGACTTGGCCCATCAAAAAATGACAGAACATCAGAATAAAGAGAAAATCGTAAAAGTTTTTAGAGAGGAAAAAAATGGTCACCTACAAAGAATTATGAATCATGAGCATCAAGGCTTCCTCAACAGAACACTGAAAGCTTGAAAACAACGGAGTAAGACCTTAAAAAATTCTAAACTAAATTATTTCCAGCCTAGAATTCTAAACTGAGGCAAACTTTCAATCAGTTGTAAGGGTAGATTAAAACTACTCTGAGGGGTATCTGGGTGGCTCACTTGATTGGGTCACCAACTCTTGGTTTCCATTCAGGTCATGGTCTCAAGGTCATGGGATTAAGTACCTTGGCTAGATGGGTGCTCAGCAGGGAGTCTGCTTGCGATTCTCTCTTTCTTCCTCTGCCCCTCCCCCTGCCTGTGCACACGCACTCTCTCTCTAAAATGGGTAAATCTGGGGCACCTGGGTGGCTCAGTTATTAAGTCTCTGCCTTTGGCTCAGGTCATGATCCCGGGGTCCTGGGATCAAGCCCCACATTGGGCTCCCTGCTAAGGGAGCTTCTTCTCCCTGTACCCTTCCCACCTGGCTTGTGCTCTCTCCCTCTCTCTTTTTCAAATAAATAAAACCTCTAAAACAAAACAAACTCAAATAATAAAATGGATGAATCTTTAAAAAATAATAAAAAAATGAAAGTACTTTGAGATACCCATGTTCTCAATACTTTCCCCCATCATGTACCTTCTCAGGAAGCTATAGGAGAATTTGCTCCATTAAAAAGAAGGCATGAGGGGCACCTGTGTGGCTCAGTGGTTGAGTGTCTGCCTTTGGCTCAGGTTGTGATCCTGGGGTCCTGGGATCGAGTCCCACATTGGGCTCCCAGGGGGGAGCCTGCTTCTCCCTCTGCCTATGCCTCAGCCTCTCTCTGTGTCTCTCATGAATAAAAAATAAAACCTTTAAAAAGGGGGGGGGGGCATGAACCAAGTAAATGAAAAATTAGGTAATTTTTAGCTCTATGAGAAAGTAAATTATGAAATAATATTTTTGTTGTACAAAAATAAGAAATACCTGACTTGACTCAAACAGTATTTATAGTCATAATATCAAATATTAATTTAATAACAATTATAAACATTCTGAGAGGAATGAAGTATCCCCTACTGAAGTTGGGAGTGCAAATGAAAAAAAAAAAAAAAAACAATGGGTATTTTCATGCCTTTTTTTTTGATGAATTCAAAAGGTACAAAAGGGTATACACAGAATTTCTAACCCCTCTGTCCCCAGTCACTCAATAATCTACTCCAGGGATGCCTGAGTGGCTCAGCGGTTGAGCGCCTGCCTTTGGCCCAGGGCGTGATCCTGGAGTCCTGGGATCAAGTCCCACATTGGGCTCCCTGCATGGAGCCTGCTTCCCTCTCTGCCTATGACTCTGCCTCTCTCTCTCTCTCTGGATCTCTCATGAATAAACAAATAAAATCTTAAAAAAAAAAAAATACTCCACTCCAGAGGCAATTTCTTATATATGCTTCCAGATGTTTTATGCATAAATGATTATATAGGGACACCTGGGTGGCTCAGTGGTTGAGCGTCTGCCTTCGGCTCAGGGCATGATCCTGGAGTCCTGGGATCGAGTCCCACATTGGGCTTCCCTGCATGGAGCCTGCTTCTCCTCTCTCTGCCTGTGTCTCTGCCTCTCTCTCTGTGTTTCTCATCAATAAATAAATAAAATCTTTAAAAATAAATAAATTATTATATATAGGAGACACATGCATATATACATGCTAATGTATATACACACAAATATGCAAGAATATTCTAACCCATTTCTTTTTTTTTTTTTTTAGATTTTATTTATTTATTCATGAGAGACAGAGAGAGAGAGAGAGAGAGAGAGAGAGAGAGAGAGAGAGAGAGGCAGGCAGAGACACAGGCAGAGGGAGAAGCAGGCTCCATGCAGGGAGCCCGACATGGAACTCGATCCCTGGCCTCCAGGATCAGGCCCTGGGCTGAAGGCAGTGCTAAACCGCTGAGTGACCCGGGAGCCCCTAACCCATTTCTTTTTATACAAATGATAACTATTGATACTGTTCTGTACATCTTGCTTTTTTCAAATTCAGTCATTTTGGAAAATGATTCAGCAAGATACATACACACAACATGTCATATATAAAGAACTCTAAGAATGCTCACATCTTTTGACAAGGAATCTTGGGTCTGACTCCTTTGAAAATTTTTTTAAAAGGAGGAACCAAACACAAGATGCAAAATAAAAAAAAATAGCTAGAGATAGGTTATGGAGATCTTTGTTCTCTTTATAACTATTTGAGTGCTGCTTGCTTTCCTTAATCAGATGTCAGTTCTCAAAAAAGAGAATATGAGAACCCCTCAGAGGTAGTATTAACAAAATGTGGCAACTGATTCTCCATTTCTTTTTGCCACAGGTGTCTAACATCTTATAGTAATATCTGAATTTGACTACCAGGCTACACATAGAAAACACACACAAAGTATACTGTACTTACAGAATCACCAGGAATTCACAACATTTTTTACTTTATCATGAAATAGAGCAGCCTTAGCACAAACCAAGGACACAGGAGCCAGCAAGGAAAACAAATGCTTTTGTTGACAAGTCCTGGAACAGGCTTTGCCAGTATCTGGGGTTATAAATGATGCCAGAGAATCACTTACCCTGAGGTATTTTGCTAGTGTTTTCCCCAACTCTCTTACTCTATTTTAACTTGATTTGAACTGAAAGATAAAGTGTATAGCTCACAGGGGAAAAAAAAAAAACAAGTCTTCTCCTCCATAAGGAGTCGGTACTTGACTTTTACAGGAGACAGTTAACTAATTAACTCATTAAATTAGAGACAATTACTTGGCAATGTCAGTGAGTCTGTTTGCCTGAACAGACAGAAGAGGGAGTACAGAACTGAAACTAGAATCTACCCACAGTCAGTCAAGACACTAAAACATTTTAGGTATTATGTTAACAAAGAAAAGCAGGTACTTTAAAAATGCGTGATATATTTAAACCAAAAGTATATCTTAAAATACTTTTAAAATAAGAATGACTCATTTATTTTAAATTTCATTACTTTCTATGCTTATTTTAATTGACTGGATAATAAATGTTTTAAACAAAGTAAACATGGCCTTGAGTAACACAGAGGGCTAGAAATGAGAAAAGGTTAAGTGGCCACCTTCTCTTTCTACTAACCAAATGACTTGCATATTTATACTAAAAACAATAAAAAGCTATTTAAAAGAAAGTTTTGAAAAAAAAAAAAAGAAAGTTTTGGGTCTCCCATGCTAACAGTTATGCCTAAAATTTAATATATCAACTAACTGACTAGTTTTACAATATCATTTCCATTTCATTCTCTGTCATTTCAAAGAGTGAACCAAAATTACTTTAAATGAAATTAACCAAATATTACATCCATACTCCAAATAACTTTAGAGTTAATCATTTGCCATTTCAAAGACGTCTCTTAAGCAGTTGTAAATCCACTTGGGCAGGAAGTCAAGGACACATGAAAGACATTGACAAGAAGTAGCTGACAGTATCCAAACAAAAATAGGTGATTTATTTTCTTGATTAAACTTTTTCCAAATCCAACTCAAGCATTTGAATGTAAAAGTGCACATAGCTTTGACATTTCCAGAAAAATTTAAATTTATATTTAGTGCACATGTGCTTCAAAGTCTTGACATTCTGAAGCTTGAGAAATAAAATGGATCTTAATGAAAGATTAGAATCTTCATTTATTATTGCTGATAATAATAATAATCAGATAATAACTGATAAAGATAACAGTGTTTAAAAAAAAAAAAAAAAAGATAACAGTGTTAGGGCAGCCCGGGTGGCTCAGCGGTCTAGCGTGCCATCGGCCCAGGGTGTGATCCTGGAGACCCGGGATCCAGTCACAAGTCGGGCTCCCTGCATGGACCCTGCTTCTCCCTCTGCCTGTGTCTCTGCCTCTCT